GGATCGGTGGCCGGTGGAGCTGCTCCTGAGGAGAGTTGGGTAAGGGGCAGTGCTGCGTCTCTAAAGGAGGTGCCGAAGAGGAGTTGCTTTGTCTGTATGAAACATGCAGCTGCTGAGGGAAGTTCTGGGGGGAGTGAGTAGAAGTTCACATGGAAACTACTTTCCTGTAACAGCCTTTAACATCTGAAGCTTCGGCAGGCCTGCGTCAAACCTCCTGCAAATTTAAATATTGTTGCTAGTATTTTGGAGATAGCAGCTGAGTTTCATACCACAGACTTTAGCCCAGCAGATGACAAGCTGACCTGAGTTCTCATGTTGTCCAAGATAGCAATAGTATTCTTCAGAAACAGTTCTCTCCCAGTTCTTCGAATTGCAATCGGTTGTGCTCTCTTTTCTTCCATAGAGGAATGCAGGCCTCTTTCTTTTTTCCAAGTTTCAAAAGCATTTTGAAGCTAGAGCCTTCAGAGTGTGTTGGGGATTTCAACATCTCTGTTCCCTTATCATTGCTTGCCAGAGCAGCTGTAAACCTATTTCAAAGAAATGAAAAACTACATTGAGTCTTCTCTTCAAGCACTAGGCCTTGGAGCTGGTTGGGTCACAATATGTTATTCTTACTGCTTTGTGTAATTTACTGCTTTGTGTACTTACTGCTGTAAGTAAAAATTGCCAATCTGATAAATGGCTTCTCTCATCAGCGAAGATCGAAATTTCTTAGCTCGTTTTCTGTTAATGTATGTTCTTCCTATCAGGGCAAAGAAGCATTCTTTCATGAAAATGGAAGCACACAGAACAACTGCTTATGGCTGAAATTTATCTGTATACTCTACTGAAGATCTTCAAGTAAATAATGCCATTAAAAATATTTTGTTCACAAGCAGAAAAACAAGCTAAATTTACCAAATGATTCATTTTAAATAACTCTGCCTGTGGAGTGTGGTGACAGCTGCAGGCTCTGGAAGGCAGGTTCTATACTTTATAAGCTGGCGTATTTTGTGCTTGAATTTGTGCCAAAGAGTGCAGCTCCACTGACTGAGAGATATGGATCGTCCTTTCCTTGAAATAAAAATGAGAGTCGTTTTGTAGAAATCGTGTAAGATTTTATATAAACTGTTGTTTGGGTACCTGTATCATAGCAGGTTGGAGTTACCAGCAGTGCATTCCCAAATGTGTATTAAAGCAGGACAGGGTGCAGGTTTCTTTCACGTAGCAAACCTGAAGGCCCTTGTATTCATGTTTAAAACTTCACTGAAATGTTTTGTGTCCCCTATGACAGCACCCAGGAATCGCCTTATTCCCTCTTTGCCCTGTATTGTTCCTGTGTTAAGATAGCTATTTACAAATAATAGATACTTAAAAGAAAGTAACAAGATTCTGTGTTTTGTATTCTAAGGGAAGTAATAGTTCAGCTTTTTGTTTGCAAAGGATCTCCTTGTAGGACTTCTTTGTATCTCAGACTGTCTAAATCAACTTCTAAACATGAAGAGTGCAAAATGAGATCCTAAGTAGTGAAACGTAAACCTTGATCATTGTTTAACTTCTGGTTTCTTATAAGTTGTATCTCTCTTTAGATGAGAAAAAGGAGAGGCAATTTTAATGGCTTGTCATCTGTATTCGTATATAAGTAAATACAAATACAGTATGAATCGGGAAGTGTAGTTCTTAGCCTAGCTTATCCGAAGGCAATGCAGCTGGTTTTCCTCCTCTGGAAAGCTGCTTCAGTTCATTTGCAGAACTCTGTACCTGGGCACTGAGAAGGAGACTTCTTGGTTATGGAGCTTCACAGCACTTCTATCCTCTGCATGCCATTGCATTATCTTCTCTGGGAGAAGAATATCTCCACACAAATTGTACAGGTGTACAGAGATTAAACATTTAGTGTTTCTGGTTTTGAGTCAGTACAGTCACTTCTGTATCTGAGAGATCTTCCAAGATTAGGGCTGTTGTTTGAATGATGATGTCTTGTGTATTACGAACACCAGACTCACATATGTTAGATCTCCAAAATATCTGGGGTTTCATGGCAACTCGCGATAAGAAACATGCTGCTTCTCCCAGGCCTTGTCTAAATATGCACAAGTCATAGTAACACAGATTGAAAAAAAAGATGCCTCTCAAGGATAAATAGGAATGTAAAATACTATACATTAAAATGAGAAATGAAATGTCCATTTCAGTGTATATAAGTACTCCTTTGCCTTTTGGGGTTGTTTTTGGCTTTATACTAATAAAAATACAACTTTTGGACACCAGAGACAGCCTGTATTAACAAAGCCTGAATTTTAACTTCAGAAAAACGAAGTTACCATTAGTATGGGGGGTCGATATCACTTAGATAGAATCCAATTCTCAAACAAAATGACAGTCAAATAAAGTTAAATAAATATGATGCCAGAGATGGGCATTTACTTTTAAATGTGTATTTTGTAATGTGTATTTTACCCTCTTGCAGGAACATAAATAGGCAATAAGAAGAGCGCAACTGATCGCAGAGCACAGGATGGGTATCTATTTTCTTCTATTAATTGTAGGGGTTTGCTGGGCACAGTACAACCCTAATACTCTCTCTGGGAGGACATCTATTGTACATCTCTTTGAATGGCGCTGGGCGGATATTGCTCTTGAGTGTGAACGCTGTTTAGCTCCTAATGGATTTGGAGGAGTTCAGGTATGTCTGTTCCTATCAGTAGGTAGTAAAATTGCTACATGGATGATAATTTGTTTTTCAGAGAAAATGTTCAATTCACCAAAGGACAGGTACCGAGAAAGAAAAATAGAAATTGGTAATGGAAGTAGTAAATGCTGACAAATATATTCTTCAGCCATCATCGTGTAAGCGTGAATTTATTTCATCGTTCCAAAGTACATGTTTTGTGCTCTGTGCTATTACATTTAGATGAATTAGAATTGCGTATCACTGGCTAAATCTTCTTTTTACTGCTGTGAAGAGTAACCTATGTTTATCTGCTTGATATTATTTAAATCAAGGGGAGCTCTTAAAAACTAGACAAACATAAAATGAAATGATGATTGAAAAAAAGGGCTCCCAAAGAGAATACCAAAGTGCTGAAGGTTTTAAATAAATAAATATAAAAGGCTGCTAATTGTGTTCACGTAAACTGGCAAGTTTCTCTCTGTAAAGCCTAGTGTCAGAGTAAGCCACTAAGAGACCCTTCTTTGCAGGAACCTGGGGTGAGCAGACAGAAAGGAACTGAACACAGGTTCTGGTGGAGGTGTGTCGATGTGAATCTGTTCCGTCTGAACAACAGACACGTGTTCCTGAGGAACTAGTAGTGTCAGATGGGTGGGGTAGTACGGCTGGAGAGCAGTCACCTAGTAAACTATTTCAGGTTGCTTGTCAGATTACTCAGGAAAAATTGGTGAGAGAGTTCTGCCTCTCTCTTGTAGCTCAGGAGTTTGCAAGTTGGCCTGAATGAGAACTTTCCCATAATTTTCAAATAATACATAAGGCACACAAGCCTGATTGATTTTAAACTGATTTCTCAGACTATGGTATAGGCTTGGATATCTTTTTAATCCATGCTCTGACAGGGTCTCAGAAAGAAAGTTTTTTTCAGATGCAGACATGCAATCAGGTGGTTACGCCCAGAGACTTGGAGGTAGCAGCAAAAGCTTGTTGCCTGAAAAGTATTCTGGAAAGAGTCTATAAAAGGAAGAGTTATAGCTTATCTGGAAACTGTGACAAGTCTCATGTCAAGAACACTTTTATCCAAAACATTACAAAAATGGGAAGTCAGATCAATTTTACGGGCAGGATGTTAGGTCAGTTGTTCTGCAGTCAGTTCCTTCCTGATTCTGTGCTCTCTCTGTTGACCTAGTCCTTCAGACCCTTCTTTTGATCTTTGAGGCCTGCATTCATGACGATAATTAGGACATGTGTCCATGGACATCATTCTTATAGTATGTTTCTACCTGCTGAAGGTCCAGGCCTAAGTCTTTTATTTACAACCCACTACAGTGTAAGAAGAGGATACTGAGGATCTCCATGGGTTACGTATTGTAAGCGTCTTCCATTAAAGGCACCTGATCTTCTATTTTTATGTTCTTTCTCTAACAATACTGGGCAAACAAATAAACCATTATCAGTATCCTGTTACCAAGAGACACCATCTTATTCACAGATTTCACCTCCAAATGAAAATGTTATCATTACTGACTCCTGGCAACCATGGTGGGAAAGATACCAGCCTGTCAGCTACAAGCTGTGCACACGATCTGGAAATGAAACTGAATTTAGAGACATGGTGACCAGGTGCAACAATGTTGGAGTAAGTGCTTTGAAAACCTTCTGGTGTTAACAATGCAAGGATATAGACAACCGGTAATTCAGAAGGGAAGACATGGTAGCACTGGAGTCAAGATGCGGTTTTTTTTCCCTGCCTATCTGTTGAGATGCATGTTGTATCGCCATTGCCAAATGTTAATAAAAGAGAAATATTTAAAATAATTGCAAGCAAGGAGAAATTGGGGGATAGGGCAGGAGGTAAGAGAGAGAGAATGTTAATTAGTGGTGCTGTGGGAAGTAGCTTTCTCAAATTGAAATGTGAATACTATTCTCTAGGTACATATTTATGTGGATGCAGTAATCAACCATATGTGCGGAGCTAATGCTGGTGCTGGCAAGCATGCTACTTGTGGAAGCTATTTCAATGCAAAGACTAAAGATTTTCCAGCTGTGCCATATTCTGGCTGGGACTTTAATGATGGCAAATGTAAATCTAGTAGTGGAGACATTGAGAATTACCATGATATATCTCAGGTAAACCTAGAACTATAAATATATTTTTCATGTACATCCGTTCTTGGGCTGTGGTTTCTTTGCTCCCCTTTACCGTCAGACATTTTTTAAAAACCAAACCAAACCCCTCATGGAAAACAATCCAAATCGATAATAGAGGTTAGCGTTGCTGTCAGGAACACCACTTCCTAACCAGATTTAGACAAGTGTGCTTAGGTACTTTATAAAGACAGTTTTAAAGCTCATAAAACCTATTTAGGGATTATCGT